AGCACTTACCTCCACCATTTCATTTCCTTTAACTTCCTGCTCGTGAGAGAATTTATCTGATTTGGACACCAGCTTCCCGTTCACCAAGTTCACAGTGCACTGTTGGAACATTTAAAATATTTTTTGGAATTCAATTTGAGTAAGTAAAGGACTAATAGACAGGAAATAAATTACACTGATGTTCCATAATGACAGCTGCTAATTTAATTCAAATGCTGAGAGCACAACGTTTGAATAGGAATTTTAGGAACATTTCTGTATGTTGAAGTGATAGAAACGTTTGCAAATGGAAATGCTACAAACAAATTCCACTCACACCTAAACTGAGGTTTAGGGATAAATAAAGAGATGGAATTCTTGGAATGCTTTACCTTTAGCTTTCTGCCATCCATGGTGGTGATGTCAGCCTCTTTGCCAAGTGTGAACGAGTTGGTTACAGATTTGTTGGGTGTTTTGGATGTCACAACAAAGTCATTGCCTTTTTGTTGTATTTCAACAATAGGCTTAATATCTTTGGCCATTTTGATAGTGTCATCTGGCAACCCTGCAGAAATAGGCAAAACAGATCTTTTTGTTATTGAAATAGGAAATTCTTTTCTCCAACAAAGGCACAAAAGATCCAAACCAATACTGGAAGGTGATGTCCAGGTTAAAAGACAAATCCTGTTTCAGATTCCTCTCTACTCTATGGATTTTTTTCTCCATTCATTCTAGCCTGGTTAGGTTTTCATATTATATTTGATTATGAATTAGAAGATTATGAAGTCAGATTATGAAGTTTCTTCTAAGGGCTGGCCGTGGGGTGATGATTCTCCATGAAGGAAAAACCTCACATGTGCATTACTTTATTTTCCCAGGGGGAATCGAGTTGTGAGGGATTATCTGTCCAGCCTGCAACCTCAAACTCCCTTTTTGGGGTGTCCCTGGCATGATTTGAAGGTGTCATTGTCACCAGCAGAAGGACTGGTTTTGTCACACTGTCAGACCAGGCTTTTCTGGGTCTCACTCTCCGGAATATCTCGTATTTACTCTTTAAAACCCCCATAGAATATTTTGTTGCAAATGTAAGTGGATATTTATTGATGTAGCTCCTCCTAATCCTCACAGATTACACTTGATAATCTCCTCCTAATCCTCACAGATTACACTTGATAATCACTCCGAGTTATTGACACTTATCACAGGTGATAATCACTGACAGATTACTGACCACTAATCACCTGTTAATCATTCACAGATTACTGTTGAGCATTTGTGCTGCAGAAAGGGCTTCTGTACCAATAATTTAGGAGCTGAATAAGTCACTGACAACTTGTTTCTAGTTACATGCGTTTATAAAATTGCAACTCAGTCAACACAACTTCGTTTCTTGCTATAGCTGTTCTTTCTTGAGAAGAGAAAGAGTTTATAGCTCATCTAACATAAAGACAGGGGTTTGGGGGTTATCTGGAACCTTTCTCCATCAATTTATACAACTGTCAGCTTCTTTTTGCATCCAGATCAGATTTAACCAAGCAGAGGAGTTTGCCATAGAAAGAAAAGATAAAAAACAATCCATGGAAATGCAGCAGTTGAAAGCTGAGGAGGAAGCAGCCACTTACCCAGAGCTTTGAGGAAAGGCTCCAGGTTCTCCTGGGAGTAGATCTGCCAGGTGCCAGCGAATGCCATGGTGTGACACAGCGAGGGCTCTCCCTGCACACCGGGATGCTATTTATGGAAAGAGAAAGGCCAGCCCAAAATTGTCAGAGGGCTAATTATTAACTGGGAAAGAGCAATTATTAATCAGTTATTTGTTTTTAATGATCATAACCTCTCGTTCATGCTGCTCTTACCTTGAGGGTTGGGATGTTGTGTTTGTTGTGGGTTACTGACCTCGGGGAATTGTCCATCGTTGTTGGAAAGTGTTGCAGTGCAGCTTCATTTGTTTGCTTTTTGTTCACAAATTCTGTGTTTAACACATTTTCTGTGTCCTGAGTAGAATTCTCCAGATTAAGTTACGTTAGATCAAGGTAATTGGTATTGTACAGCAGGAACTTCCTAATTATCACAATATTCTCTGCTGTGGGCACTTGAACCTTAAAGGGTAGATAAAGAATGAATAAAATAATTCTATTTATTTCAAAATTGTGGGCCTCATTGTTTGGGGACAGGGAAAATCGTGTTGGAGAGGGACATCAGTGATGACTTTATCCAGCAGATGTCAGTGACGTGCATCTAACTCTGAACTGAATTTAATTCAGTTTCATTTTACTTTTTGTTTTAATAGAAGATGTTGGAAACATGGAACATTGCTTGGAGAGTGAATGCAGGAAGCAAATAGGATGTGTTATTTTTCCTTCTGAGCAACTGCACAAGGAATTCTCCACTCATTCCAGCCCTTGAGTGATGTTCTGTGCAGGCCTGACTGTTGATTTTGGAAGACTTTCATTAGATTATGTGCCTTGCAATTAGATTGCTTAATTCAATCTGAGCCTGTATCCCAGGGGTGGGTGACCTTTCTAAGTTAACTTTTCATTCTATTTAAATAGAAACCCAATGCTCAAGTTTTTCTTACCAGTTCACAGCCTTTTGTTTAGTAGGTAATTTGAAAGATTTACACAGAAAGAGCCAGATTTGTAAT